CCGGGACCCGTGGCTCCAGCACCCCCAGAAGCAGTAGAACCTCCAGCACCGGCAGTACCACCAGCTCCAGCAGCACGGCTCCAGCGCCGAGCAAACCACTCGCGCAGCTCCTGCGGAGAGGGTAGCTCCCGCCGGGACGAAGCACCCGAAGGACCTCCAGGCCCAGCACCGCCAGACTCCACACGAGCAGGCCCAGCACCCTCAGGCTCCGCACCCCCAGACTCAGCAACCCCAGGCTCAGCACCCCCAGACTCCGCACCCCCAGACCCAGCACCCCCAGGCTCCGCACGCTCAGGCTCAGCACCCCCAGACCAGGCACCCACAGGCTCAGCACCCCTAGCAGCACCAGAGTCAACAGCTACCTCGACAGGCTCGACTGCGTCTACCTGGGACACACCTGAGGGGGCAGGACCCTGAGAGGGGAGGGGGTCTACCGGGGGGGGACCTGGCGCGAGGAAGAGCGGCGGGGGGGGGAGGGGGGCAGCGCGGTAGGGGAAGAGACGGTAGTACGGAACCGACTCGTCAAACGTGACGTCCTGGGAGGACAGAACACGGCGCGAGGTGGGGTGGTAAAACTGCCAACCAGGCGCGTCAGGGGGGAAGCCAAGGAAGACGCAGGGAACAGCACGGGAGGACAGATTGTCCGCAGACAAGTCGCGGACGAAAGCTCGAGATCCCCAGACACGGAACGCAGACGCATCGCCAACCTTCCCCGTCCACCGCAGAGTAGGGGAGGTCTCCGGCACGGAGACCCGGGGCTGAAGGTTGATCTGATGCGCCGCGTACTGAACCGCGAACGGCCACAGAAAATGGGGAGCAGCCGCATGGATCATGGACGTACGAGCGACGTCCATGACCATGCCAATGCGGCGCTCAGCAATCCCATTTTGCTGTGGAGAGGCCGGAAGCGTGAACGTCTGGCGGATGCCCTCCGCACGACAGAAGGCTCGCAGAAGGTCGGAGGAAAACTCTCCACCCCTGTCGGAGTGCAGACGCAGAACAGGAAAGTCCGAGCTGAAACTCTCTCTGAGCTGGAGACGGGCAGCGCGGATCCAGTCGGTCAACACCTCAGTGACCTCACCCTTGCGGCGCAAGGGGAAGACTGTGGTGTAACGCGAGTAGTCGTCAACAACCAGCAAGAAGTAACGCTCGTGACCCTGTCCACGGACGCGGGCTGGGCCCCACACGTCCATGTGGAGAGTCTGCAGTGGAGCCTCTGTCGGAGGAAACTCGGAGGAGTGAGGAGTGGCGCGCTGCCGCCCCTCGACGCAGGGAACGCAGGTAGGAGCAGGCCCCGGGGGAAGGGGAGGGAGGGACCGGGGGAGACCAGAGACAAGGACACGTGAGGCCATGCCTCGGAGACGAGGCAGGGAGGGGTGACCAAGGCGGTGGTGCCAGAGGAGAGTCTGGTGAGACAGGAGATGACACGAGCAGGGGGCAGACTCAGGACCAGACTTGGACGCTGCAGCAAACACCTGACCCGACGCAGCTACCTGGCCAGACGCAGGAACCGGAGGAGACTCGGTTGTCAGTGTGTACAGGCTCGACCCCGGCTGACGGGTAAACGTGGCCAAGTGTCGGCCCGTCCGAGCACACGTGCAGTGGGTCACTCGCTGACTCGCGAAAGTGAACTGGTCAACCCCCCCATCCTGTAGGTCAGCACCACTCACCAAGTTCGTAGAGAACGAGGGGAGGTAAAGACCTAACAGGGAGCCAGAAGGGGCCGCCGGACACAATAAAACAGTGGAGTAGTGGGCAAGGACAGGACCCCCAGAGGGGTCTGCCAGGGAGACTGCAACCGGCCGACTAAGCGGCGTGAGTGTGGTGCGGTCTCGAAAGAAGGAGCGGGAGGCCCCTGAGTCAAGAGTGAAGGTGTGTAAGACCGCAGCAGGCGTAGCACCAGAGAGAGCAGACGCACCAGCACCTGGAGCAGTAGACTCACTAGCGCCTAGAGCAGCAGCCTCACCGACACCTGGAGCAGGAGACGCACGAGCACCTAGAGCAGCAGCCTCACCAGTACCTAGAGCAGCAGATTGGATACCGGGGTCAGGCGGCACACACAGGTAACAGGCACCCTCAGCACTAATAGGCAATGCATACATGGCAGTGAGGATAGCATCATAGTCAAGAGCATAGATATCTACCCTCTGCCCAAGTAGCTCCACCCAGTCGGGGAGCTCAACCGCGTCGCCAAACTCTGTACGCCAGGCGTCGCTCAGACGGGCGAAGCAGCGGGACTCTGTGTGACCAAACGTCCCGCAAGGCTGACCAGTCCGAGCACCAGTGCGAATGACGTACGGGCAGCGAGCAGTACTACGTGACCCTCCACGCTGAGCGTACCACTCACGAAGCTGCTGGGGCGAAAGGACCGTGCGCGGACGACGCTGCAGCTGCACCTGGCCACTACAAGAAGCTCCCGAACTACTCACTCCAGGACGACTCCCACTACGGCCACCCCGACAACCCCAACTAGCGTACCACTCACGAAGCTGCTGGGGCGTGAGGGACTCACGCGGACGTCGCTGGAGCTGCATCTGGCCACCGCCAGGAGCGGCAGTAGCAGTAGTAGCCGCAGTAGCAGCAGTAGCAGCAGTAGCAGCAGTAGTAGCAGTAACAGCAGTAGCAGCAGTAGCAGCGCGGCCACCCCTACAACCCCAACTAGCGTACCACTCACGAAGCTCCTGGGGCGTGAGGGACTCACGAGGACGTCGCTGGAGCTGCATCTGGCCACCGCCAGTAGCAGCAGTAGCACCTAGGGCAGCAGAACCTAGGGCTCCTTTTTTTATATATATAATTAATTATTTATTTTAGGGTTTGGCAGGGCGCACTCGGCGCTGCAGAGGCGGCTCCCGGGCTGCAGGGTGGCTCGGGCAGCAGCGAGGGGGGCGGCGCGCGGCTCCCCAGGGCGCCGTGACGGGGCAGCGGGGGGGGGGGGGAGGGGGGGCGCGCGCGGCTCCCCAGGGCGTCGCGACGGGGTAGCGGGTGGTCGCGCGCGGCTCCCCAGGGCGTTGCGACGGGGCAGCGGGGGCCGAGCGCGGCTCCCCAGGGCGTCGCGACAGGGCAGCGGGGGCCGAACGCGGCTCCCCAGGGCGTCGCGACGGGGCAGCGGGGGCCGAGCGCGGCTCCCCAGGGCGACGCGACGGGACAGCGGGGGTCGCGCGCGGCTCCCCAGGGCAGCGCGACGGGGCAGCGGGGGGTCGCGCGCGGCTTACCAGGGCAGCGCGACGGGGCAGCGGGGGGCGACACGAGAGTCGCAGAGGCAGCGCCCACGGGCGACACGCGGCTCGTCAGGGCAGAGGCAGCGCCCACGGGCGACACGCGGCTCGGCAGGGCAGCGCGCTGGCTGCAGGGGCAGCACCCACGGGCTGCAGGGGCAGGCACTGATGCAGAGGCAGCTCCCACGAGCTGCAGGGGCAGGCACGGCTGCACGGGCAGGCACGACTGCAGGGGCAGCACGGTCGCACGGGGAGCACGCGGGCTGCAAGGGCAGCGCGGCTGCAGGGGCAGCTTAAAAAAAAAAAAAAAAAAATCAGTTAGGGCAGGGCGGAACGTTCGGTGGGCCCTAGGAACGATTCTGCTCTAATACCATGTGAAAAGAAGAACAAGGAATGAATGAACTAGAACAGAGTTGGGTACAAATATGAAACCCTAGAAACCTGTACCCCTTAGTGTCTACCCCACTACAGCTTACATAGGCTAGGCCACATATGTCTGACAGCATCACCTACGAATAATGTAACATTACACTAAATATCGATACAAGCAGTTTATATATACAATATATATCTCGACACGGCGAGATGACTACAAGAGCAAAACAGTGGGGGTTGGGGAACGTGGCAGGGGGGAAGAGCAGAAATGAATGGGAGTTTGGATACACTCGCTTTGGCTCTCAATCATTAGGATAAAAGATCCTGAATGCCCTGATTTCAGGATCCCTCTGGTGGATCAGCACTGGAAAATCAGTATTGTTATAAATATAGCCCTGATTATTCAGTAATCTCTTGGCTATGCACCCTGACATATATGTCTTACATCCGGGCGATGACGGTACTACCTCAGCCCTTATCAATCAGGATAAAAATCAATTTTGGGGGATCCTTCGAAATAAATCTGAGGGCCTGCACTAGCCAAACTCTTGTGGAAAGTAGTACGTAGCTGTCAGTCACAGGGGGGCATACCACGTAGTATGCAAACTCAATATCCACTGTTATGAATGAACTTGCAGAGTGCGCAGTAAAACGAATAACGAGAATGATTGAGTACTGAATGAATGAACACACAAAGTGACGAGGCCTAAATAGGGGAAGTCCTAGCTAGGCGAAGAGGTAGGGCGAAGATGGCTCGGTGATGGTTGCGATTGGAGCGGAGGCCGACTCGGGAGTGATTCGGCCGACGAAATAGGCCGAACAGGTTCGTCGCGTGACCCTCGGGATGTACTCGCTAAAGTGCGAGTACAGTAAGGAATTACAATTCCTTACAGCTACAGACTGAACTCTGAAATTTTCAGTGTTCATAAACTTGTAACTCTGAAGCTGGTATCAGGGTTAACAAAATCTGAAAAATCAGGAATCTCCAAAAATGGTATTGTCAGCCCTGACATGATGCTCACACAATAAGCTAGTATTCTAGCTTCAGCAGCACCGAACCAACTTCCGTGCCTGAATGGTTCGAACACAAACAACGATTTGTGTTTCTTTTGATCCCCTCGTTACAACCCTCGTCAAGGTCCCTTCATCAACTGCAAAACATTTGAACTACGTAAGACCCTCAAAACTTATCTCTACTACCTACACTGATTATCAGGGTTTTCAAAAAAGCAACATTGATGATTAGAGTTACAAAAAGCATAAGATAGGCCCTGTTCCTGGGTGATTTGGCCTGACATGCCATCTGAGGGCGTGCTGCATGTGCATGAGCGATGGTGGGTGGGACATGAGTGGGAATCGGGATGAAGCATGCAGGAGTGCAGGGAGAAGCATGCCCTGCCCACCCGCACGTCACGCAGAGACGTTCTCCTCCAGCAGCTCTTTCCCAGTGATACCCGGCTGCAGTGCTGCGAAGAAAGGCTGAGTGTCGCATGGAGTGGGTGGGTTGCTGGGGTCCACGGTGAATGGCTCACTGAACGGCACAGTGCTCTTCACCTGCACCACCACCATACACACGACATCGCAAACCATATTGCACACCAAATTGTGCACCGCATTGTATCAGACCGTGCACTGCAAACAGCACAGCAGCACGTGCTAACACGTGACAAAGCCGCCAAAAACACGTGGATTCGTGATAAAACCCAATCCCCTCCATGCTCACGCAGGAGGTGCCAACCGAGCACATGAAAAGGTGCAAGTACACGGCCTGGAAAGAACCTTGCAGTGCTGGTGTTAGTGCGGGGCTGTAGGTGCGTGCGCACCACCGTACCTCAAATGTTTTGTTGGCAGCCGCAGGTGATGACAGAGCCTCCACACAGATCCGAGCCACTTCCGCCCTTCCAATCTTGCCCTGCCAACACGGCGGTACATACAAGAGTACATGGCAAAAAGGGTGGAACACTTCCAGTGAAAAGGCTGAACAGCTCAGCAACAAATCACCATACCAATCAGGTTGAGAAAGATTACAGCCATGGCACGAGGACAAAGGTCGGGCACAAAGGTGGACAAACTTGAGCCACATATAATTACTCTTGTTCTAAATCCGGGTGTCTTGTGTGCCTTGTGTGGCCATCTCCCAACACTTGTGAGGGTATCATGGCCACGGCCCACTCCCTTGCCACTGCCATGCGCAGCTTCGCCCCTAGCATGTGAAAACAAGGAAATCATGGCATGTGAGCGCCTGAGTGCCACACCATGGTGGATGACGTGGCATGGGCGACCGGGAGTTGGACTGCACATTGCATGTCATGCGATCCCAGGCAGTCCCATCCAGGCTTCCGCACAAGTGATGAACGTGGCCCATTATAGTTTGCACCACAGCGCACTACAGCCGGCAGTGGTACGGCAGGTGCTAGCCAGGGCCAGTAACTCTATGTCCAAAAAGAATTTGCAGGGCATGCCGGGGTGTGGCCACTATGGGATGCTGAAAGTCTGCACTCAATGTTTAACGTTAAGGTTCAGGGTTTGCCCCATGCCAAAACTCCAAGCCCCATGCCTTGCCCAGCATGCGGACGCCCCATAGACGGCCCTCTGCCACAAGCCGCGGTTGGCTTGGCACAGGGCATGCAGCGTGGCTCACCGTGATGTTGTCGCCCTGGTCAAAGAGCAGAGGCGCGCCCACCGGCTCCTCCGTGAGGGCACACGGGCGCACCACGGTGAAGGGCAGCCCGCTGCCGCGCACGAGGTCCTCCCCACGCAGCTTCCACGTGAGGATGCCCCCCAGCTCATCGTTCATGCGCACTGCTGGCGGCTGCCGCGACAGGTCCAGCCCCGGGCGCTTGGGGCGCGTCACCCCCGCTGACCCCACGTGCACTATCCTGCAGCCACACGGTGCCACGCGCACGGACAGACGGCATTGGGGCACGCATATGCAGCACGGCTGAAACGCTGTGAAGGGGTCGAGAAACAACAAGTACATGAGGTGAGCGAAGCAGCGGGAGACGAAGAGGGATGGAAGGAGGAATTGCAGCGCACCTGGGAAGTGGCGAGGGGTCTGATGGATAGGCAGCGATGGACGTGAGTGGCAGGGTGAAGGGACCAGGCGTGAAGGAAGGGTTGAGGCGGCCGTCGTACTCAAACTTGCTGAGCATGAGCTGCCACACACGGGTGTGGGATGGACAATTGCACTCAAGAATTCACCAAGCTACAAGATAAAACATTGACTTGACCTCTTGAGGCAGGAAGGACACTGGGAGTGAGCAACCGGCAGTACCTGAGGAAGCAGAGAAGAGAAGAACAGGAGATGCAGTGAGACGGACATGCAGAGGAAATCACAACAGCTTGCTTTGCGGCATAGGATTATCAGTGTGTCTGCATAGGGGTAAATATGAGGACGAATGGTTACTGTTGAGGGCGTACAATCAACTGGGACAAGGAATTACCTGCAGTGAAGCAATATTGGAGGTGTCGAGGGGGGGGGCTCCAGGCACAGTGCGCGCTCGGAAGACAGGAGCGAAGGAGTAGAAGGGCAGGCGGACCTGCAGGTGGGGTGATCCGTGGCAGAGGAAATGTCAGTGGTGGTGCATGTGGGTAGGGGGTGTGCATGGCGAGACAGCAGGTGAGCAGCAGCGTGTGCACATGGTGCATGGCAGTGCTCCACCACAGGGCCTTGCGCCTGGCACCCACAGCGCTGTGCCGTGTGAGCCCCATGGCGTGTCATGGGGTGCATTGGTACGCATGTCGGGCAGAGCAGGGCGACGGAGGTGGAGCGGGGCAGGCGGGTCTCACGGTGTGCCAGGTGCCAGCGAGGGTGTCGAAGCTGGCAGTGTAGCCCAGGGCGTCCCACGCTGCAGTGGTGCGCAGGATGAGCTTGTAGCGCTGCCCGTCGCCGCGCACGCGCACCTCCAAC